TTACAAACTTCTTTGGGGCTGGAGATTGCTCTTAAATCTCTGCTGGGGGTAAAAAATAAAGGAGAGGTGAATGTGTGAGGACAAATACAGAGATTAATAGGCTATTCTCTATGGAAATTCCAAGTGTAAGTCAAAGAATGGCATAAATGCTATTATAAATACATAAGTATAGAATGCTTAGAATATAAGTACATAATGCTTAGGTATAAATACTCATAATGAAGCATTGGATTATGATTCTCCAAAACAAAAAGAAAAATGAAGTCTGTCCTGAAATAGAGGATAACCTGATGCTGCTGTGAGTGCTGGCAGCGTTCGGAGGAGAAAAGTGCAGGCAGCAAAAACTTGGGCGAGGTCAGAGTTGGGGTGGGCACTGGGCAAACTGCACCTGGAGCCGGTGTCTGCCCCCCTGCCCTACCTGTCCGGAGTTGGGCCCAGCGGCTGGCAAGGCTGTGGGAGGTTTTTGGACCCCTCTGGGGGGCGAAGGTGGGCACGGGTGTCCCTGCGGGGTGGCAGCAGGAGGTGAGCGGGGCTGCGGGGCAGGGCTGAGGGCAGGGAGCTGCGCATGGCTCTGAGCTTGGCAGGGGACGGAGGTGGAAGGGGAAGCAGGGTGTGTTTGGTTCCCTTGTGAAAGTGCTGTGGGTTTTTTTCACGTTTCTTTTGTTTGGCAAGTCTGGTCATGTATGCTGATGTTCAGTGCTAAAATGCCTGCGTGTTTGTGTTGATCTTGGAAGTCTCGGGGCTGTGGGGGCAGAGGCAAACCGTGGGCCTGGCTCAGGAAGGGGACCCCGGTTGTCATTTTCCTGCTGTCCATTTCCCCATTGCTGCCCCACCCCCTGGGAGTAGGTGGAAGTTAAACGAAAAGGAAGGCCTCGGAAGGCTGACCTCAGGTTGAATGTTTTGCTCAGCTTGGGTTTGGGTAACTGGAGTGTTGGGAAGCTTAGGGCGGATAGGGAGAGAGGCGCTGCAGCTGGTAATAATAGCAGAGCCTTTTATACTGTCAGTTTAACAGCTGTAAAACAATTAGGGGGAATTATGTTAATAGAAGGCTTTGTTCATACTTCTCTTGCCCAATTTCCTTTTTTTTTTCCCTGTAACATGCCTTTCCTACCATGCTGGGAGAGCACGCAAACAGTAGAGCTCTGTGCGCTGGCGTTGTGTATGGTCAGTGTTATCCGTTAAACCATGGCTGGGCGCAGATCTTCCCAAACTTCCCCAAATCAATTTTCCAGTGCTTTGGCTATTGCATTTTAACGTGGCTCTCCCTAAACAACGAAATCATGTTTTCGGGAAGCTAAGACGGGATGAGAAGTGATTTGTATGGGAAACGGGGGCTGATTTGCTCGGGCCGCTGCAGCTGTTTCCCTCTGCGGGACGAGCGAAACCCCTGCGAATCGATCGGATCCGTGCTGCCTGAGCCCTGCCCGAGCACGGGGGCGGCAGCGGGGACACGCTGGTGCCGAGTCTGGCGCGGGCGGGTGTCTCCTGCCTTCCTCTCCTGGCCCTAAGGGAAGGAGCAGATCTGCAGATGCGCCAGCTGACTTCCCACCTCCCCCTGAAATACAGCGTGCGCGTGGTTGATCTGTTGAGGAAGGAGGATTCCCAAACTCCACTCGCCTTGGTGGCTGTCACATCTCCACGTGGTTTTTCCCGAGGTTGGAGCGCCGAGCTTCTTCTTCATCGATCATCAGCCCATCCGCTGGGCTGCTCGCCAGGACTGCCGGCAGCTCCCTGGGGAGATGGGTGCCACCAAATCGTGCCCATCAGCTCTCAGCTCACCACGGAGCAAGGAGGGCTGCGTGAGGCCGCCGTGGCTCAGCCTCGCCATGCTCAGCTGAGGTGGCAGCTCTGCCTTGACTGATAATCCACGAGTCCTCGCGTTTCAGTTCCTTCGCTAAATAACATGTAGACGTTCTGCTTTGAAGCCTTGTATATGATAGTTAATTAGACAACATTTAATTTGGCTTAACATTTGTGTCAGTTTTGTGAAAGCGAGCCTCCATAATTAGGGAATACAGATCAGGTTTCTGTCAGACTTATAACCTCTCACTCTCATTTAATGCTTCCTTCTCCAGCGCCGCGTCACACTCGCCGCGCAGATTTTTTTTCCCCACTGTCTTTTCCGCTTGACTAGCAGCAAAGTTGCCCGTATTGCACAACTGACAGCGAATGGGCTCCTTCGCGGGGAGGCTGGGGCACACGATGCGCTAGTATTTAGCGGGGAGCTCGCCCATCAGGACGGATTACGTGGTCGGAGGCGGTGTAAATAATATGGTGCTGTGCCTGCGCGCGAGCCTGGAGTTGAGGAACAGCCGGGCTGTGCATCTGAAGTGCTCCATGCATGTGTTTTGTGATGCTTTGCAGGAGAAATTCACACGCGAAACAGACCGTGGGATTCATGGCTTGTAATTAGGAAGGCGTTTTCTGGTCCATTTGGATAGGTCTTTGGGAGAAAAGGGTGTTTTCTTCTCGGAAGTAGTTCTGTCTGGGGTGGTTACATGTAGGTGCTGTTTATTGCATGTTTTTAGGTGCGATGTGAAACACAAGTGCTCTCCATTTACTGGTTTTAGACTACAGAACAACAAAAAAGATGATCTAGGGTTCTGGCATCCAGAGAATTACTACATTATCCCCTAACGTTGCCCTGATGGTGCTTTTACCCCTTTGTTCTGAGGTTACAGCCAAGTATAAAGACATAGCTCTTAAGTCTTGGCCTCACTGCAGAAAATCAGGTTTCTCTAAAGATAAAAGATCTGACCATAGCACAGCTTTAATCAACAGCCCCCTTCCCCCAGCGCAAGGGGAGATTTTGGGCATGTGCCCGCTGCTACAGCAGGCAAGCAGAGGATCTGTCAGGCATCACACTCCCTTGAACCTGATGTATGTAGTTTGTCCCTAATTAGGGAGGAAACCACTACTTCTCCAGCTCGTGCCGGTGACCGCGGGGAAGGAGTAGCTGCCCATGTTCTGTGGTGGAGCACCAGGCACCGGGGCGCTCCGAGGCCGCCCGGACCCCAGCCAGCTCAGGCAGGGGCTGTGCTCAGGCAGCTCTCTGCTGCTAATCAGCCCGTGGGGAGCGCTCGGCAGCGAGAGCGCTGAGCTGACTGCCACGAGGCTCCTCTTCTTCCCCCCTCCTTTCCTCTGATGTGAAATCTCAAACGTTTCTGCTTCATTGACTTTTTTTTCCTTTTTTAATTTTTTTTGTACTTGTGACTGCCTTTCAGCAGCAGCCCAGCACTAGTTCGTCCCCAGTTCCTCGGATAGCTGTGCTTTCAGAGCAGCCGTTCCTCACTGCTGCTAGCTTGATGTTTCAGCTGCAGGACCAAAGGAGAACTTTCGTGGCCAGAAGCTTGCCAATTCAGAGCTTGCTGCATCAGTTAGGTAGGGAGTGCTGCTTCCCATGAGGTTTTTTGTGCTCACATAGCACAGCTCCAACACTGCTATCACACATCATGGTGCAGGGAGAGCTTTCTCCCAGTGCAGGAGCTGAACTGGGCCCGTGTCTGAGGAGCTGAGCTGGTTCTGCAGGTGGTGCCTTCTGAACGTGTTGGCGGTGCTCAATGGGCGTCTGCAGCATCTGGAGGAAATGCTGGGTGCTTGTAATCCCGGTGCGATTATGTCTGATACTGATTTTGTGGGTCAAGATGCAACTTCATTGCCAGTCACTGCGTGAAAATGTGCAGCAGAACAACAACGCCCGCTGTTCAGATCTTAATCAACACAGCTGCTTTCTGACCTGTAACCACAACACCGGGCCCCGGTGTCCAGCACGTATGAAGGAGCAAACACTATTAATTTGCTCTTGAGATGGGAACTCATCATATTGTGGTGAGTCTCCCTTAACATGTGTTTTGTGCACAAAGCACATCACAAATACAGATGTAAAGTTTGGTCTCTGAGTGCATGGTGATCACCAGGGCTGTACTGGGGTACCTAACTGACCGCTCTGAACTTGCTGCATGGCTTTATTCAGTGTAACTCTAGCGGTATAAATGGTCATTTGTGCCTTTTCTGTAAATCCTTGAAGCCAAGCTTTGCACGGAAATCACCGTTATGTCATTTTAGTCATAGGCTGTTTCCTTTTTGTAGTGAATCCTGCCCTGCATCACTTGCGAAGTCATACTCTGCCAGGTTTTAAAAGCAAATAACGTCGAGTTATTTTATTCCAAGGCCAGAAACAGAAACAATGGGAGTAACAATTATAGTAAAATAACTTTTCTTTATAATCAAACGTTGGATGACGGGGCTGCACAGCGTATAACTGTGGGTTGCATTAAAAAAGGGGGCGGTGTGTTTGCAGGCCTGTCCAGCAGGACGTGTTTGCAGGATGAAGGGGTGTGTGGTGCGTGTTGTAGGTGAGAACCCGCCCCGTACCAAAACCTGGAATCTAGTGGGAGACAAATATGTGGGAAAGGAAGGTGCTTAATAACACTGCCCTGAGCATGCAGCACTTGGACGGGCACCACGCTGTATTTTGCCTGTAAACACGATGCTAATAGGGCGAGGGGAGCGCGGTGCCAGCACCCTGCAGTCCTGTCCCGCTGCGCAGCCTCGCTGGCTCCCTGACGGGCGTGTGGCTCTGCTCACCCCTGGGCTGCTGCCTGCACCAGGTGCTTGGGAGGCAGCGAGAAACCCCTGCAACAGCCCCATTTGGGTGCGTGTTCCGGTTCTTGTGGTAGCTGTGAGCGCATTCAAAGAATTCTTCCTCTTGCCGAGACTTGCTTGTTTATTTGATACAGAATGCGTGCAGGTTTCTGCTTTTTTTTTTTTCCTTTTTGTAAAGGATTTCTCTGTGGAAATGGATGAATGTTGCTCTAATAATTTTGGTTTGCAGCATCCTGTCCCTGAGAAAGGTAGTATACAAGCTTTGAAACTTTACAGTCTCCAGCATCATACATGCTTAGGATCCCTTATGTATCAAATACAGTTCACGGCAGAGCTAAAGAAGTCAGTGTCCTATTGAAAGGCCCTTTATGTCTCGTCTCTTCTTTGTTCAACAGGGAACAAAGTTTGTCATCCTGAGACACCAGACCTTTGACGAGACTCAGGTAACCTCTGACAGCACGTACAGTGCTGACAAAGAGTCCCTGTCAGCCTTTGTGGAAGACTTTGAGACTTCAGTCAGCATTGACTTTCTAGAAGACGAAGAGCGTGTTGGCGAAGTGCTAGACTGTGGTTCTTCGGATCTATCGGATCGTGGAGGAACAGAAGAAGCTCAGCATGAAGATGAAAAGATGACAGAAGCAGCAGCATCCCAGAAGTTGTGATCACACAGGCAGATGAGGTGGGTGATAGACAATACTTGATAGAAAATTCCTTTTTATCTTATCTGATTTGTATTCTTGGCTGGGATGATAAATACATCTTGTTGTTTCTAATTAATTCTTTAATTTTCTTTTATTTATATTTTGAATTTAGCAAAATTCTATTTCATGTTCGAATCATTCTCCATCTAACCCAAAACGCATTAGAAAGGCTATTTGCTTTAATCAGCGGGATTTTTAATCTTATTATATGCTTCTCAAAAATGAATATTTCTTTGTATTGTAGAGTACATATTTACATAAATTAGTGTTATCCTTGGTTATTTTGCCAACCATAATTTATACGCTTTTTAGTTTTATCATAAAATAAAATCTTGCCTCTGATATTCTGGGACCATTTTTAGCATCATAGCAAATTACCTTGGGAGGAACTATTACACAGTCAGTGAACTATCCTTGAGTTTATATAAAAAAAAAAAAAGTAACTAAAATGTGTATCAGTTACTCAGCTCCCACTGATGAATCCAATCTCTCCCACTGTATCATGTAAATCAGTGTTTGTAAGCTTTTGGAAACTGCAAATTTGTAAAAGCTGCGCATACAACTCACCTGCAAAGTGGACTATTTATTTTGATAATCTTAGTTTCTTTGAAGAAATCGTTAATTCCTTGCATAATTTAATTATTTTTTAGTGTTGAGATGATTTTCTCATCTTACCGGGTTTGTTTGTTTGTGTCTCTTCTGGAGAAGGTTCATTTCAAACATAGCATTTGGGGATGTTGACAAAACATTTGTAGGGAATTTCTTTGAAGTACTATTGAAAGTGCCTAATCTTACAAAATATTGCTAAATGGAGCTCGTTTCTGTGGCAGATGAAGTCCCTATGTCAAAATTGTGTAAGCTTTCCCTTTCACCGCCATAAACTTAAAATATGAATGGATAAGGAAGAGCATGCTATACCTTCTTCCACTCGGCTGTCTTCCCTTTCTGTTTTCTGTGTACTTGCGATTGCCTCACGTTCCCGAGATGCTTCTCTCTGAGGTTCGCATCACGTGGAAGTCTGCTGATCCTTATCTGGAGAGCCATTGAAGTTTATGGGGCCCCTGAGACAATTAGCAGCAGTATCTCCAACGATAAAGTTATCGACTCCTGGGCAATTACCTTGTTTGACCAAGTCAGTGAAAGTTCCTTGCTTTCCCCAGTATCTGAGGCAACCGAGCCATGAATGAAAGCTTGGTTTGAATGGGATGGGGTCGGTGATGGCTGATGAAGGAAAGCAACAGGAACACCCGACAGAGTCCTTAATGTGCTTTTTTCATGGTTGTGCTGGAGTCCAGATACAGTCGTGGTGGTCGATGTAGGTCTTTTTGTTAACTGGTACACTGGTGAAAAGACACCAAACTCAAGGATCACCCTCGTAAGGATGCAGCAGCTGGTATCGGCTCCTGCTGGTCACCTGGAGTCCTTCAGGGCTCTGGGCTGCTGTTGGATGCAGAGTGCAATAACAAGAAAAAGGGAAATCCGAAAGTAAAAAAAAAAATTAGGAAAATTATATTGGGTGGTTGCAAAAGATGCCTGCAGTCTCACAGTTGCATCACTTTCCCTTGCAGCTTTTTCAAAATGTTATTTAAGTTATCATTCTCCAAAGACTTGTCGTGGAAACCAAGGGCTGTATGTCCTATGGTGTCTGTGTGTCTGGCTGTGTGAGCAGCTTACCGTGTGGGTGTGCCGTGATGCTAACTGACTTTGTGCTGTCCAGAGAGTCAGCAGCGTTCAGTCAAGATCCATCAGTGAATAAAAGGATATTTCCCACCTTGGAAGTAACTTCTGTGCAAATTTACATTTTATTTAAATTCTCATGTAGACATAAATGCTGGTTACTAGGAACGGATAGTTCCAGTAAATAGTACGGATGGCATGGATCATTACAGTTAGTAGGAATAGATACTTACTGTAACGTGCTTCCCTTTTTTAGAGGAGTGTACCTGCTTTCAAGTGTCTGGCTCCATCATTTCAGGATTTTTATCAAAATATCAAAATCTTTTATAAAGCAGTATTTTTATAGGTTGCTCTTCTACTGATTGATAAGCATTTCTGCAGCTGGTACTTGTGTTGTCACTGACATAGTGTGTATGTCATGAACTGCCCACGTAGCCAGCTCCCTCTGAGCAGTAAGTATCTCACGTTGGTGGCTGCTGCAGAACACGTGGGCACCAGAAACAGTCTGAGCTAGGGGACTGTTATGCTGTATACCTAGAACAGGAGCATAACCTTTGGGGGGCACTTGGTTTAATTACGTTTTACACTACACAGGATTGTCTGTACAGTTTTGTCTGTCGATGAATCTGAGAAATTCAGCTGTGCTTTTGGATGGGAGGGGAGGTGCACATCTCACAAACTTGAATGGATTCAAGTGCTGCTGCTGAAAATTTGTGTCCTTCCTACTACAAAATAAGTAAGTCTGGCGTTGGTGTTGGATTTTAAAAGGGAGTGGACATCATGCTCTTATCTGGAAAAAAGGCTTCTGTAGCAGTACTGATTCTTTGCTGGAACAGGGCTCTAGAACTAGATGACCTCCTGCTTTTAAAAGCTCTTTTCTCCACTCTTTGAATTGAACTTGCACTCAAGGAGGGTCATGCACGCTTTCTTCTTTCTGCCTTACGGCATCTTCGTTTCCCCAGCTCTTCATGTGGCTCTTCCACGTGGCGTGGGACAGAAAAACATCATTCTGAAGAATAGATTACAGAGATTTGAAAGGATAACTTAAAAAGGGGGTCCATAACTGCTGGCCTGACATGTGGTACGGAAGCATCTGTGCTGTGTTCTGCTAGCGCTGTGTCTGTGCGGGCTACAAAACTGCTGGAGCAGCTGGGTGCTGAGCCCCGTGCTGCAGCTGCGTGCTTCATGGCACCCGATCTAGGCAGCTCAGACCTGCTTGGGGTATGTCTGTTCGAGGCATGTGGGTGACGGTGTAATGTGCCCTAAGAAAAGGGGGCAAAACCTGTAAGTTACTCCTTTTTTATAAAGTAGCGCTTTTAAAAAATATATATATATTTCCATAACTTATCTAGGAGCATTGGTTATGGGTGAGAAGCCTCACTTGTGGAGCAGTACACATCCAAACCAGATGATTCTGGCCCTGAAAAACATGTGGGTTGAATACAAGTCAAAGTACTGATACACTTGGGAGAAAATAACCTTGCTTTTTTTTTTTTTTTAATGTGGCCTCTAGCAGTATTTAAAGACTGCAAAGATCCTTGATATCTTATCTTCTTGACTGCTATTATTCAGGAACTCAGTGGTTATACATATTTCAGCAGCATCTTTTCATGTCTCCCTACGTCTTTATAAGTGTTGGACAAGTTAGTGCATGAGATGCCTCCTTTTATGTGTGCTAGATTTTGTAGATTTTTCAAGTGGGAGAGTAATTAAATTACTGTTTCAAAGGAGCTATCCACCGCACTAATAATTTATCTGTAGGCTTACTAAAGTAGTTGTTTGTACTCTAAAATGACTAAATAACTGTTGTATAATCTCAAAATTGCAATAAATCATAATTCCTCCTGGATGGGGGCACTTATGACTTGTGAATGTGTCTGACAGGTTTAAATACTGCACTTGCACGTAGGGGGATGGAGGAGAATAACTGCGGGTCCTGCTGCCGTGCATTCTGCATGTCTGTGCTGCTGCTGCACTTCTCCTTCTCGTGTCATCAGCCAGTGCCAGGGCAGGAGCCCCAGTTAGAGGACATTGGGTGAAGAGAAACAGCAGCGATAGGTACCCAGAAGATTTTGTTAGCTTTCTGAAGTCAAAGGTAAAGTCACCAGTGTTGCCTGTACTGCAGAGGAGCTGTTGGCAGCGCTTGAGGTCTCCACAAGGAGGAAGGGTCTCTTGGTGTTCCCTGTAGGCATGCGCAGGTAAATCCTGCAGCCTTGGGCTGTGTGCTGCGAGATCCCCCCCACCCCAGCCCTCAGAGATATACCTGCTGTATGCCTTGCTTACAAAACCAAGCAGAGGTGCGAGATGCTGCAGCACAGCATGTTTGGGCGCAGGACAGAATTGTTTTCAGTCCTGCTGCTCAAATGTGTGCATGGCTGCTATTTTTTTTTCCTTCTAATGGTGTTCAGCCTTTATTTTTCATACTGTTGAAACAGTGACATGCTCCTAACCAAGCTCCAATGGTGGGCTTTTATTACGGCCTTAAGGAACAATTTAATTTTGCCTTGGAAATGTATCTGATAGGATCATTTGCTCCTGGGATCACTGATAGGATTTTTACCTTCCCTTCTGCAAATGACTCCTGTTCTTAAGTGACTGGCAACTGTGCTCCTGCTTTGGCACCTCCTAGAGCAGATAGAAATAGGGTAGCTGACCCAGGTAGAATCAAGTGTCTCCAGCAAAATGACAGGCTTGACTATAGATTTAATTGCTCTATTTGTTAATGAGTCTACATTTTGGGAGTTGGTTGCAAGATAAGTTCTCCAGCTTAAAAATATTTTAAGAACAGCTGCTTAGAATGAAACGCTCCTTAGTCTTGGAAAAGTGTTTCAGAAGGAAGGCTGGGAATATTTTGAATAAAAGCAATTAATATCCCATCCAGACTGAATTGAAGGTGTAGGAAATGAAGCAAAACATACCTCCACTGATCTTCCCACTGCATTAATTTTAGAAGAGGTCTGAGTGGACTTCCGAGTATACTAGCAAGTTGTAAGTGAGAACCAGTGCCACCACCTATTCCCAGGTCCTTCTCCATATGTAGCTCTACTTCTCCTTACAGGAAATAGACCCACAGCGTTTCTTTTGGGTTGAGTTTTTCTAAAGGAACAGAGAAGATTTCTTGCATCCTGGCTGTGGAAGTTTGGTGTCAGGGCCATGTGAAACCCCCTCAAATTGCCTTGCAGATGCTGACATTGCATATTGTCTTGCTCCCCAAACTGACAAGGACTAGGAGGCTCTGAAATCATCCCAGCTGCTCTGTTTTCAGGCAAATGGTGTAAAGTTTCCATTTTGGGTAATACCT